AGTCTGAGAGATAAAAGCTAAAAAACTAAAAGACCAAACTGGCTAAAACAAATAAAATAACCGGAGAGGCAACGCGGCAAGCAATGGAAAAAGTAAAACCCTCCCCTACATATAACTGAAAGCATCAACTGTAACAAAATCCCAAAACGAGGTCTTAATTTGGAGCCTGAAAAGGCAAATTAGCAACAAAATCCCTGGAGGGGCCCTTAAATAATATTAATCATAATAAGATCCCTTGACAGGGCCTTTGAGTCTAATCAACACCTAAAAGGCTGACAAAATCCAAGAAAAGGGCCTTTGAACGATCAATAACGTACAATATAGGAGAGGATTTAATTAATTACAAAAGGCTGACAAAATCCAAGAAAAGGGCCTTTGAACGATCAATCAATAACGAACAATATAGGAGAGGATTTAATTGATTGTTAACCAGGGGTATCCCTCTAAAATAGTTTCTGATCAATTCTCCAAAGCCTCCGCCATTCCTAAAAATGATTTACTTAAGACTCGTGGAAAGGAAACGAAGAAATTATTTCCATTTGTGATTACATTTAATCCAAATCTATCCGACGTAGGCAACATAATCAGAAAGCATTTGTTCATTCTACATGCCAACCCCAAATTAAAAGAACTTTTCCCTCGAAGTTATATCATACCATCTTTTCGTCGATCAAAAAATCTCAAAGAATTGTTAGCACCATCTCGTTTCAAAACTGTCGAAGAGGGATAAATAATTCATCAAAACAATGGTTGCTTCAAATGTGATAGGAATAGATGCGACCTGTGTCGAAATTTCTTTGTTGAATCCAAATCATTTCTTAGTTTTCAGACGGGCAAAAAATACACCATTCATTCCAGGCTTTCTTGTGATTCAAAAAATGCAACTTATTTGGCTTCTTGCAAGAAAAATCGCTTGCAATACGTGGAATCTACCACTACCGATTTTAGAATTAGGTTTCGTAATCATACGTCTGCTATGCTCACAAACAAAACAACTTGTGAAGTAGCAATACCTTTTAACAAAATCCCACACACTCTAGATGACTTTTCGTTCCAATGTATTAATCAGGTACAGACTCCAAACAACTCTGAGGAGATCGATAAGCTTCTAATTACAAAAGAGGCTTATTGGAGTGCTCAGCTGTTCGCTTTGGCACCCCATGGCTTAAATAAAAAAAAGGAAATTCATTCGGAAAATAGAATTTGTTATAATTAATTAAGTCCTCTCCTATATTGTACGTTATTGATTGATCATTCAAAGGCCCTTTTCTTGGATTTTGTCAGCCTTTTAGGTGTTGATTAGACTCAAAGGCCCTGTCAAGGGAGCTTATTATGATTACTATATACCATACCATGAAAACTGGCAATAGGTTAAACTGCAAATGAAAAATTTTACATGAACAAGCTGCTCGGAAATTTTAAAAGTATTTTTTATTTTATCGAGTTTTGCAGCTAATAGTTACTAAATCAATTTAATTTATATGTATACTTTTTTTTTTTTCTGAATAGATCACAAAGAAACAAGACCTACCCTCTCCAAATGGATTGGCAAAATTCTTGTGCACGTATTGCCACATGACGAGTTCTGGTCTTGGTGCATGTGGAGGTGGGAGTGGACGCTGGTCATGAAAATTAATGACAGCGAGGTATTATGTTTGTACACTGTTCAAGTAAATTTGTCATTAGTATTTAACAGAAATGGGGGTAGTAAGTTAGTAATAAGTCATTTTACGAGCGATTTGGTTTCAACGATTCATATCTAAAACCTTCTGGTCTTGATAATGTAGTACCCCTCCTTGCCGTATCTGTTAGTCATATTCTTGGTTCAAAAATATATTTCCTTTAATCATTAAGTTTGTTCTCGTCATTAACGAAACTTTCATTACCATTCCCACCTCTGAACCTCAAAGTTGGACTTCAGCAATCCAGGATGAAAGACTGGGATAGACACACAAGAGACCAAGTTACACCCTTTTCCAAGATCTGGCTTGGTATGAGGATCGGAGGTCAGACTAACGTCATCGTCATCGATAAGCAGGTGAGCTCTCTGTACTCGTTGATTGCTGACGGGAAATACCGCAATACCTCACTTGGCTGTGACATGTGGAAGACGCTGATAGGTTCGCAAGCTTCCTTACAGCCCAACTGCAACTTGGAAGGCTTCAACGCGAAAGAGGGATCACCCTGCAAATCAAGAATCGGGATCCTTGGTAACGATGAAAAGCAATGCGACTCTTCAAATTCTAGGATTGGGTTTGGTTCAGCGGGATCTCCTGATGAATCCAACACGTCTGGAAACGTGGCTGGGTGGAACGGAGATAATGGGCAGAAGAAAATTAAAACCATGGGATATTGCTTGGTTCAGTGACGTTCACAAGTTAGTTTTTGCTGCTTTATGTGCCACAAAGTTTCGATTTGGCTTGATGGTAGTAGACATTCCATCTTAACACTAACCGTACTGGACGCTTAACGAAAAAAAATTACATAATCTCTTGACATGCATGAGAAGTTAAGTTGATGTTAAAAATATAATAAAAATAAAACTGGTGATGGGACAGAATAACTCAATGAAGCTTTAATACAATCTTGGTCTAGTAAACTACCCTATTCCTCGCCTCTAAATTCTTGAGAAATTTTTTATAATCAGTTGATATGTTATCTTTACCGATTTCAACAAAAAATTCCGAGAACGTTCTCGACGTACAATGAATGTGAGTTTAGACTAAAATACCTCAAATTCTCGTCTTACAAATGTTCTATTACATAAATCTTTTCAGGGTTAATTTTTCCTATCTGTATCACAAAATGATCCAACATGAATGTCAGACAATTTTGGGAAAAAAAAATTGTAGTTTTATAGCTGATGTTATAATATTGGAGTCACACAAATGCCCAAACAATGTTGGACAAGTTGTGGTCATCTTCATGGAATAAGAGGTTGTCATAACAACGATACAACCTGCTGAAAACAACCTTGATTTTACCTTTTAGTGGCCTGTGAAACCAAAATTTCCTCATTAAATGGTGATGAGCATGTTAAGACAACTTTTGCAAATTCAAAAAAATTCTGTAGATAGGATTCAGAACCATCTCCAACTTTCGAAAATTAAAGATGGCTATGAGCCTACAAAATATTTATAAACTTTGCATGAAATCGTATATTAACATACTTATCACAATTCAATAACATTAGAAAGTTTTAAGTTGAAACCTACTGCTTAAATTTTAACCTGTAATTAAAACACCCAAAGAACTGGATCTTACTACAGTGGATAGCGACTTACAGTAGCATCTTGCGTTAAGTTTTCCTCCGCCTTATATATAAACCGTCATCTTTTTTATTGGTTTTGTTAAGGGTTGTTATCAGATGTTGTCTTTTTACTATTCAGTTAGTATACCACACTCCAAAGAAAGAACATTGATTGTTTGAGGATGCATCTTATTAGTCAAAAGCAGAGTCTTCGATTGTGTTAACTTGAATGAGCTCATAACCAGTCACGTTATTTTGAGTTATTTTGGACACCAACAGAATCATCTTTAAGCTAAATGAAACCTGAAAACCTGAATAGTTTACTAAGATAGAAAAACTCTTAGCAGATAATAATAAACCATAAAGAAACAGGGATTGCTAACGATAGAAAAGACTGACGCGGTAGATTGACATCTGTTTGAGGTTATGTGACATGGAACCAAATGTATCTGTTATTAGAGTTAAGAATAGAAAACATTAACTGTAATTAAGTAATCCAACTTATAAATGACTCCACGAATTATATTCAGCGTTGAGCCATGTGGCAAGGAAGTCGAAGCTCACGATTGTGAAAAAGATGAGTTAAGAATACAGCATTGGTTTTCCTAGTAGAGTCGTGCTGATGTATCTCTTTTCGCTGAGTTTCCGATACGTTCTCTTTTCAGAACATTGTAACAGCCATTGAAGGTCGGTAGTGACGAAGATAAATATCAGGAGCTCCGTAGTTTTCTAAATGTAACGTAAAATGAGGCACTAAATTAAACATGAACGTGCTTTACCCAGCAACTTTACCCAGCCAGTCTTTCTACTGAGCATCTCCTTTTAGGCCTTTATTTGCAATAATAAAGAAGTATATTGAAAAAACAAAACAAAACAAAACAAATCAAACCAAACCAAACCAAACCAAACCAAACCAAACCAAACCAAACCAAACCAAACCAAACCAAACCAAACCAAACAAAACAAAACAAAAACAAAAACAAAAACAAAAACAAAAACAAAAAAAACAAAAATGTACGTTGCTGCTCGTAGGATTTAGTTTAACTCGAAATCCACGTCTGTTGCACTGAGCTCATGGTATCGGAAAGATCGATCCGTTGTTTCCGATGGCATATCCGTTTGGTTTAAACTTGAAGTATCCGTAGGAAATGGTGGCCGTTTTAACTTCTTAATAGTTATTATCCATCCTTCATCCGATGATCTCCGCTACAGAGACATTTTGCACGATCGAATAACTGCTCAAGCGAATCGCGAGGAAGCTCCAGCCAATTTAATCCATTTCAAAATATGTCAATGCGAATGAAAAGGTTTGCTAATATTGAACTCAGCAGCATTCGATTTTTTGACTTAGTTAAAGCGGTGAAATAAATTACTTGCAGAACTTTTTGCTTGAAAAAGATTCATGAATAACAAAGATGTTCGTTGAACAAAGTATATTACGTATTTTTCTTTTTTTTTCCTTTGATCGTAAAATGCGTCTTCCAGAAACACTAGTATTTGGTAGAAGCATCGATCTCATTACCATTGGTATAAAAACAAATACAAGTAAGTTAAAAAAAATAATAAAACACGGTAGAATTTGAAAGTTCGCGTCAGATAATCCAACGGACAGGTGTATATGAAATAGAGTTTGCAATTGTTAGTATATATATTTTCTTGTAAGTAGATAGCCTTCCATAACAGCGAAAAAAAATCGAGAAAAAATCTGATGCCTGTGCTTAAATGAAGATTCTGAGTTTGTAGTTACTCGGTTACCACTCTTTTTCTTTCTTTTTTTTTTTTTAGATTTATTTCAACAATAGAGCCCGTTCTTTATCGGGCCCTTGTTTCATAGCAACCAACGAACAATCTTTTTAACAACCGATTTAGTCATGTTATCGATCGAATGCGGTAAACGAAATCACGATTTTTGAGTCAGGTGCTCTTTGCATTTCGCGCTGGTCAAATTTCTTGTTTCAAAAGCCCAAAAATGCTGTCACTCTTATTTTAAAAATAACCATTCTTCTCTCGCTTTTTCTTGTATCACTACGTCATGAGCCGAATTATTATATTTTTGATCCCAATTTACCCATTTTTGTCATGCCGAAATCAGAAAAATAAGCCGAAAAATACAACACTCAAACTCTCCATGTGACCATTCAAATTGCTAAGTAATTAGTCTTGTTTTCAAAAATATATTAGTTGTTTGATTCTGTCATTTAATTTGTTTATTTCTGGGTAATTTTTGATTCATGTGGTGTAAGCGTTCATTAAAATTTTAAGTGGCAGCTGCCAAACCTTTGTCGTCGCTGTTCGCCGAAAAGAAAAATCTGATTGAGCCTCGAGTATTTTTCTCAATAGTTCCACTACTAGACCTGCATCCTTACCAACTTGAAAATTTTTATTTTTTAATTAATTCTATTTATTTTTGTATTTTGCAGCGCACCAGGTGATATTCACAGACAGCCGGTCACAATATGTTCAAATTGTAGAGCAGAATTATCGAGAATTCTTTGTTTTAGCAACACATCTAAGGCGTGGGAGATGTTTGAACTCACAAGTTAAAAATGGCTGATTGATTAATCGCCCACCCCATGCATGGCTAAAACAAGCAAAATTGAAATACAAAATTTAGTTTTCAGTTAACTCAACTTCAGAACGTCACATACATGACAGGGTTTTTCGATCATTCAAATTAGAAATTTTCAATCTAATAGACTATGTCTTAAATTTACACGTGCTGCACGTGTATCTTTATTCTCTCGTCCTGTCTGATTCCTGAGGTAAGAAGTTCTGAAGGTTAGTTTTCTTTGTTGTTAGAATAACTTTGTGACTGCTTTCTTCTAAGCTAGATCTGTACACATCTTGACTATTAACAAAACACTAGGCTGATGTATATCGAAGAAAAAATACAGTTAATTTGCCTTTTTTTTTTTTTTTGCTAAATTTCAAATCGTGAAGTTTTGATCTTACGTAAGGAAACAACTATTTAAAGGAAGTTAAGACAGAATTCTACTACAAAATTTAGATTATTTTCGATCATTGATCATTTTCTATGAAGTGATAGTTGATCAGGCCGAAGGCTGAATGAGTTATTTTATTGTTAATTGGTGCAGAATCATACAGAATATTGCCTGAAATGTACTACTAATACCAACTCTTGAAAAACTTGTCCGGCAAAAGATAAAAAAAAATAATAATAATAATAACAGTGGGAGAAAATGTCTTTGTCAAATTTATCATTTTCAGATGAATGTCGTCATTTGGAGTTTAGAGCAGCCCAAGTGTTTCATGGCCATCGTCTGATGGACCACGTGATTAGCAGTGCTGACGTCACAAACACGAATTTCTGTAGTGCACTATGCTTTATGGAACCGAAATGCATGAGTTATAATCTCATGACGAAAAACGAAAATGGAAAACGCAAATGCGAATTGAATAACGCTACCTATGAAGAGAGGAAGAGAGACATGGAGGAAAATCCAAATTAGGTACACCGTGGAGCAAAGGTAAAAGCACTTCAAGATAAAAAGATTCTAAGTCTTATGAGTCGCTCGTTGTGATTTCACTGTTACCCATGTGTCTTATATGCTAGTTTGATGTTTCCTTTCATTTTTCCATTAGGCGTTGTGGGGTTTCAGTGGTGACAATTTTTAAAAAAGTTTGTCGTTATTATGAATAAATTAAAAATAACCACTTCTTTTCAGCCACGGACATTCTAAAAGAAATACCATTGTTTCATGTCTTCTGAGTTTCCGTTTTGGTTCTTAGAATGCTTGCGCCAATGACCCCTGCAAGAACGAAGCGACCTCTCAAACCGGTTTTACACGCAAAGGATATCGTTGTCTGTGTCCCGTGGGATTTACGGTTCAGCATTGCGAAAGTGGTAAGAAACATGTAGCTGCAACTGACAAATTAAGATAATGTGGCAACCCAGTTTATTGTCCCGCGGACTACTGAGTTCCATAACCCAATTCACTTTACCTACTTTATGCACTATTTACTACTCATGTATAAGATTGGAAAACGAGAAACATTGTTTATCACAACCGGCAGCATGGGCATTCAAGTTTGCACAGATATGTACTTCTGCGGCGAAAACGTTCAGTTAGATTAAACAATATATTATGAAAATGTAAAGCAAGCGAATCCTTCTACTGTCTGCTACGCGTATTAAAATGTAATATATTTCTTTCAGATATTGACGAGTGTGCTGCTGGGACATTTAGTTGTGATGCTAATGTTAGTTGTGAATCAGTTTTATCTAACACAATATAATTACCATCTTTAAGTGGGGGAGTGATCTAATAACTGATGTGTTCAACGCCGGTTAGGATTCAGGCTCCGTCAAAGTCCATTTTGGTTTTGTTCTTAGCATAGATGATAGAGAGAAATGGTTTTGAAACTCAACAAAGTTTCAAAGTTTGTATGTTTTTGTTCGCCTTTTTGGCCTTGATCGTACTCAAAACACAATAGTTGTTTACTACGGACCGAAAAACTAACCAATAGAAACGTTTTGGTTACGGAACTCATGCAAAGCGTATGAGCGAAAAACCAAACGAATCTTTGCAATTTTTGTTTCCTCCTTTGGTGTTTGTCGGGATTCATAACCGTCCCCCTCTATTGACTATGTTCTTAGGCAAGATATTTCACTCCGCCGGTTCTTATCTCTCAAATTAACAATGAGTATAAACTGGTTCCGATTCAGGTTTTAGAAAACCTGACAGACATCAAAACGGTAAGCACCTAAAGTATTTGAGATATAAATATAAATTATCTCTTGAGAGCGACGGCGTGCCGAATATAAGGTCACATAAGGACAGGAAGAGGAGCTAAAGAAAATGTCTTCAGAAGCCGTGGAAATGCTGAATTGCGTCAACATATTCGTCCCCGTACTGATGATATTTTAACGGGAAGCTTTCTCACCCGTAGGTGATCTACAGAAAGGTCCCGATCCAAAATAACATTAAATTATTTAAAAAAAAAAAAAAAAATACACAAATTAAAAAATATATTAAAAATACAAAAGTAAATTATAGACTGATAGATTTAAAAAAATTACTTTTAAACTGACATATGGTGTCAGAGTTCATGTCATGTCATGTCATGATACTCTCATCATTCATCAAGACATCGTTACGCATAACACTACTAGCCTATAGGGGTTCATAAATGTTATCCTTGAATCGAAGTAAATTATGCTTTTCTAAATTTGGTTAAAGTACTTCTTTTTTCTTTCTTTTTTTTTACGCAGCTTGGTCATGCGAGGAGCTCTACCACAGAGATGTGCAAGTGAAAAATCTTCTTTAGCTGTTACTCTATTTAATTCGACATGTAACGTAGTAAATTGTTTTTGTATCGGAGTTGCCATGTGAACGAGAGTGAAGCCAAATGAAACAAGTGCAGTGGGAAGCAATACCGGTTGGTGGAAACGGTTTTAAGTACATCTGAAATATAAACAAAACTAAGGAAATGAGAGGTTTTCATTAGATATTTTCTCTCTTTTCAAGATAAAGACCCGTTTTAAGAGTGTGTCTATAAGAGAACCAAACAGGAGGTGATACAGCTTAAATCGCGGATTTCGCTCAAACTTGGCACGAATGTTGGATTTGGCGAGTTAATGATTATGGTAAAATAGTAGATTAAAATATTTGATTCCCTCTAAGTTAGGGGGTGCTCAAATGGCCAACGAGAAAATGGTCCAGAAGATTTCATTTTCACACGGCTTTTCTTGTTGTAGAATAATAAAAAACAAAGCCATAAATGAATAAGTGTCAAATGGTCATGCATTCTTGGGTCCCCCTGACTTGGAGAAAATCAAATATATTGACCTACTATTTTGCCATAATCATTCCCATTCACCCACCAAATCAAACATTTGTGCCAAGTTTGAGCGAAATCAGTGATTTCAGCCAAGTAACCTACTGCCTGGTTCTGTCTGACACAGTCTTCAATTGTTTGGTTTAATAATACGTTTACTTTTTAATCGTGGATACGCGAAGCGTTGAAACGACTTTTGTTAGGGGCAAAAGTATAAATCAATCAAAAAACAAGTTAAACACAACAAAACAATTGGAAACATAAGTAGGACAACTTATAAGACCATAGTATCCAACCAAAACTTTCTTATGACAAACAATAAGAAACACAGTTACAAAACTGGATGTACACAAAATTAACTACGGTAACGCAAAAATCCTGGAGGTTAAGGTATTCCGGGAAATTTTTAAAGACTACAAAGGACTTAAGTAATCGAATTATATTGCAAGTGACATTAGTAATCGTAAAGCGCTGTGTAAGTAGTGTTATTTAGTATTGTAAGCAACATGAGTTATCATACTGTACTGTAAGTAGTGTAGGCATTTGTATTGTTAGTAGCGTAAGTGATCGTATTGTATTGTAAGTAGTGTATATACTGCATTGTAGGTAATATAAGTAGTGCAGGCCTTTGTTTTGTAAGTGACGGAATTAATCATATTGAATTTATCATATTGAAGTGTTATAAATAATATAAGTATATGCATTAGTCTTGAAAGTAGTGTAAGTAGCTGTATTAGTATTGCAACCCGACCAGTGTGTGTAACAATGCATATTGTTTTATGTTTAAGTCGAGCTGATATTCCTGTGATATTTCGAATTGAAGTGATTTAATGACAAAAACAATGGTAGCACTTTTGGTCACGCATTCGACTGCTGGCGTTATTTTAATTTTTMTGTGTGTGTGATTTGAATAATTTTTTGACGAGTGCCTAATCATTTGCCCAAACTAAACTTTACATATATTGAAAGACCTATCCTAGTATAGTTAGAATCTAAAATGTTGTGGAATTCCGAGACATGGCACATGGTCAAGATGACAATTCTTTTCACCGACTGACTAACTCAATTTTGGAGAATACTCTGGTTTTGTTTACCGTCAAGTAATTAGATTAATCCAAGTCTTTAAATTTTCCTTTTTTAGACAAGGAATAGTTCAGCAATAAGCTGTTTCTATCACAACTTTTCTGCGCTCAATAGTTGCGAAATGCGAGTGGAATGAAAATGGTCGATTTTTGGCCGATTTTCAGCGCAGTTGGGACTCGCTAAATTGCATGAAATTGAGTCGGAAGGTTAAATCGTAAAAGTCGTTTTTTTCGGAAAGGCAAAGCTATTTCAAGGAAAAAACTACAGCCTGTTTGCACTCTTGCTAGGGGCTAGCTATACGCAAAAGACGAGTGAATTTGAATTTTCTAGCTTTGCCGAAGAAATTTGATTTTGTTTGATTTTTGAGGGAATTCGCTCTTAAATTTTAACAAACAAAATCCTGTATATATTATGCTTCAAAGGGAGGGTTATTTGACTTTTTCCATGACCTTGTTATCTTCAAAACTCGGTCGAGCATGAAGTAGCTGATCGAAGGCGATATCTTCATTTTGTAAGCGATGTATCCACGACTTCCTCATAGTTTCCTTTGATTTCTTAGTGTCATCTAAATTTTGCAAGAATTTCCCTGTTCTCTAGACAAACATGAGCCGGCCTACTGCACTACGAGCAATGGGATCAATGAATCTATGAATCAGGGAACATTAAAGCAAACCAAAACAGGACAATTGAAATTTCAGGAACAGTGGTGGCGGATGGAAGTTGGTCATGAAGATTGACGGCGCGAAGGTAATAATTTTGTTGTCTTTCTGGCAATAGCGTTGAAAACACGTGGCCTAATGACAACACCTTTACGCTGATAAGTAGACGAATAGTTAGGTTGTTTAATGTACATTACTTCTAATCGTTACTTATCACATAACCTTCAGGGTGAAACTGTTTCTTCACTTTTGAAAGCATCGCTAAGCACCAAACCGTGGAAAGTTGAAAACGCAATCTTAGCCCCGTTAGCTACTGGAAATAGGGCGACATTTCTCACCTAGGACTTATTTTCCTCTGCAGCCATTACTTGTGAAATCCAGGCTTGGAAAACTAAATTCAACAAATTTTAGAGTACAGAATACACAGGTTCGCGTTTGCTTTGAAATAATCAGCTAATAACCGTTATTGCAATTATCAGCGGCTTGACACACAAACGAGGCGAAAGGGTCAATTCTGCATGGTATTGACCCTTTCGCCTCGTTTGCATGCCTTTTAAGACAAACAATATTTGACCGCAGACTCAACTGCAATAAGGGCTATTCACTCTACTTTCTCGGGGATAGCTGGGAAAATACTGCCTTCTCTTTGTTTTCTAGCAAACTTTCCATTATTATTCCCATGTTCGGAGCAATCAAGATACATTCAAGCCTGCAGCAGGGGAAACTGGGTTTGACACACAAGAGACCAAGCTACCAACCTACTGGAATACGTCATTTACCGAGATCTGTCTCGACATGAAGATCCCTGGTGAGGAAACCGCGAATTTTATCACCCTTGACCAGAGTGCTGACTCGCTGTACTCACTAATCGCTGACGGGCAATGCCGCTCTACATCAGTGGGTCGTGACACGTGGAAGAGTCTGCTTGGTTCCCAAGGCTCCTTGCAGCGCAACTGCAACATAGAGGGGTTCAATGCAGTAAGTGGCTCACCAAATAATCCCAAGGCAAGAATCGGTATCATTGTTAACAACGAAGATTATGAATACAACAGCTGCGATTCCAGAATCGGGTTCGGCACAGGGGGTCTCCTGATCACTCCAACACGTGTGGCATTGCCACGCAAGGCGCACCAGATAATGGAGACAAGCACATCAAAGTCATGGGATATATATTGATTCAGTGACATTTTTATTGCCCACTTCTTTCCTTCTATTTTTTCGTGTTTCGTTATGGTCTTTTTACTTTGTTAGTCAGTTATGGCGAATAAAGATAAATTATACGGAAAAAAGAAGAGTTGTAAAGAAGAGAATTTTTATCATAAGTTAGTAGTTGATACTTTAAGTATATACTTTATATGCTATAAAGATATTTGATACTTTATTTTTCAGTATCTTGATGTTTAAATGTCATGTTTTAGCATTTAAACTTCTATGGCAGTACAACTTCAAGTACGTGTATAGAGCACAGGTATTGATGCCAATTCTTTTGTTTGTTTGTTTGTTTGTTTGTTTTCAACGCTTTCTTTTCCTGAAATCGAGCTTTATAGTTCCCTTACGTGTCCTGCCCATTAAACTTCACCGGGTGTTGTAAAAATATATATATATCCTTGGCTGTAGTATAATCGTGACATCTCTACAGAATTGATAAATCTCGGGACGAAAAAACGAGAGTTTTATTCTGGAATTCCTTGCAAAAGCAGTACCCTGGAAACATTTTAAGACCTTGTGCAGTCCCTGAAGGCAACCGTGTCAAGATTGCGGCTCTGCCCCTAAATCTCACTCGATCACAATTACCGCCAGCTGCGTAAGCTACGAGAAATTGAACTAATGTCTACACCATAGAGAAATTTTAAAACAGTCAGAAACCCTGTAGGAGATTCGTGCAAAAAGAACTCTAAATGACAAATTAAGCAGATTGAGAGTTATGGATGTCTTCCCTGATACGCTGCGTTATCAATATACCATCTAAAATTTGAATGGTGAAATGAGTGATTTCAATTCGGGTGCTTTCCATTTGACCAAATCTCCGATTGCTTGAATTTTGGGAGATTTCCAGTGCACGTCCCCAAATCTTCGGCAACTATCATAAACTCTCAAAATATACCAAATTATTTGGAAAATGACTCAGCAGGAATTATCCTTCCATTTGCTATTTCTACCAAAATTTCCAGAGGTAATTTTGCTGTTGAACGGTTTGAATTTCAACAATGTTTGCATCTTTTGGAAACTTCCCCAAAACGTTCCCTACTGTTTGCTCCCGTATAAAATTTTTTGCTAGGCCTAAAAGTTGAGCTCCTGGGGCCTGTTTCTCGAAAGTCTCGGAAACTTTGCGGGCCCGAAAAGTCATTTTTAGTTAATCGGTATTCAAAGACAGAGAGGTGTACACGCCTCTAACTCCTTGTACGGAATGGAACCTCATGTTTAGCTAAGAGTATGTGAATAAAATAGATCTGTAATTGTGATAAGGTCTGAGATTTTGCTACGGCTTTCCGGGTGCGAAAACGTTTCGGGACCTTCGAGAAACGGGTTGTTCAAAGCCCGATTAAGCTAACCCAGGATAAGCGAGAATTTTGATTTGAGTTTTGTTACTTTGCGGTGAGTTTTTCTGTTTATATCGTTTGGCTCTGTCTTATGAGTTTGAATAACCTCAAACTACACAAAACATGAGAAGTGTTAATATAGATGCGAATTAATATTTTACAATGAATTGATCAAGAAGTCACATTATTCGCTAAAAGATTTTTAAAACACATTTAAAAAAGCGAACGACGTTTCGGCGCTACGTTACGCCATTATCAAGTTAAAAAGTGAAAAAGTATAAGGTGTAATACGAATACATAGAATGTGACACAACGCAAAAAATATTTACGAGTTCTATGGGTATAATTTGCAAGGTAAATTTGCAAGGTTGGGAGACGCGGTGGCCTCATGGTTAGTGCGCTCGTCTCCGGATCGAGCGGTCCGGTTTCGAGCCCTGGCCGGGGACATGGTGTTGTGTTCTTGGGCAAGACACTTTACTCTCACAGTGCCTCTCTCCACCCAGGTGTATAAATGGGTACCGGCGANGAAATACTCCTAGTCGCTTCATGCTACAGAAACCGGGATAAGCTCCGGCCTGATGGGCCACTTGGCTCGCATGCAGACTTTACCTACCTAATTTGCAAGGTAAGTAACACAATCAGGAAAAAGAAAATGTACGGAAGTGTCACATAAAAAGTTTGGCGCACATGGTAAGTGTGGAGCAGTGAACCCGACAAAATTTGCATCACACAAATTACATTGAATTAGTATACAACGCATCGAGTGTGGACGATAAGGGGCTTGTTTTCTTTAACACACAGAATTTGTGACAGTTTTCTGCTTGTGAAGATGGGTTTTACGTTAACATCGATCTTAGCTCCCAGAGAATAAATATCTTTGCGTACGCGATGGGCTGATCGCTGATCTTTAAACAGCAATACAGCACTATGTAAACAGATGGGTCTGCTGAAGGCACGGTGTGTATTTCTTTATCTGGTTCCTGGCTGAACTCATTTATGGTGGAATCGACCAATTTTATCGGATAGCGCAGCTTTGAAAACATGGTGCGTAACCTGTTGCATTCTTTTGCAAAGCCTTAGACGGTATAGTACACACGGATAACCATTGTGTTGACTAGGCTTTTCTTGTATCTGCTGTGGACGTAGCTTTGGAAAAGGAGTAGCAGTCCTATGTGGGTTGGTTTTCCGTAAACTTCCGTTGTTGTTAAACAACGTATATTTCGTATTTTCCCCTCTTTTCTTCGATCTTAATATGCTGCTTCCAGAAACACTGGTATTTTGTAGTAGCGGTGATTTCATTGCCACTGGTACAAAAACAAATAAAAAGGTTCTTGACAAATAATCCCACGGACAAGTTTAAATGAAGCAGAATTTGCAGCAACCGATATGTAATGTGCTTGAAAGTAGATAGCCTTCCATAACAGCTAAAGGAATTCGAAAAAAGCAGACCTACAATTGTAGCCCTTATCGATCCGACATCACGGCTCAGTCACAGTTTTTTGAGTTATTTTGGCCACATACAAAATTGCCTTCAAATGGTAGGAAACCTGAAAATAACAGTTTCATAAGATAGAAAAACACCAAAGAGATAATGATAAACCATAAAGGAACAAGGATGGCTTAGGATGGAGAAGATTCACAAGGATTACAAACGACGCATTTGAAAAATTGAGGCTAAATGTTTCAACATGCGCAAACCGTGACTGAGCTCCTTTGACTTGGTTACCGGTATCAAATTTGATATTTTTAATTGCTATATTTTCTTTTGACATCTATCTTAAGAAGGGTGGTCATTATTTTTTGAGACCTAGCTCGTTTCATAACACAAGCAGGGCAACGAACGAAAACAGTTTTTTTTTTTTTACTCTCGAGTCATGTTATCGATGGAAATGCCGTGACACGAAAGTACGATTTTTGAGCCAGGTGCTCAATACATTTCGCGCTGTCAAATTTCTTTGTTTCAGTAGCCCCAAAAAGTTAATCACTCTTATTTTAAGGAGAACCATTGCTCGTTCGCTGTTTTCTCTTGTATTACCATGCCAGAAGCAATAAAGCCATTATTTTCGTTCTTAATTTACTTTTTTAATTTTGTGATACCGAAATCTGAAAAATAAGACGGAAAATACAACATTCTGATACTATTCTGATTGCCGCCGAATTATTCATGTGACAATTTAAATTGCTAAGCAGTCTGCCTTGTCTTCAATAATATATTATCTGTTTGAAAATATCGTTCTGGATATTTCGGGGTAATTTTTGTTTCGTGTGGTGTAAGTCCCTTGAAAACTAATGAGACAGCTGTTAAACCATTATCGCCGCCGTTTGCCGAAAAGAAAAATCTGATTGAACCTATAGAGTACAATCTTTTTTTAATACTTCTACTAGATCTGCTTCGAAGCGAGTTAAAAATTTTGGTGCGTTTTTAAATTTTAATTTTGCAGCCCTCCAGAAGTAATTCGAAGACAGCGGGTCATAATATGCCAAAATTGCAGAGCCGAATTATCGAGAATGTATTTGTTTTCGCAAACAAAGTAAGCCGTAGGAGATATTTGGACATACTAACTGACAATGATGGATTAAGCACTCACCTCTTCCATGGCTAAAACAAACAAAACTGACATGTAAAATTTAGTTTTCAGTTGACGTAGCGTCAGGACGTCACAAGCTTGAGAGGGTTTTCGATCATTCAAATTATAAATTATCAATCTAATGGACCATGTCTTACATGTACCACTGCTGCACCTGTATCTTGATTCTCTCGTCCTGTTTAATTACTCACGCAAGGAGTTCTGAAGGTTAGTTTTCTTTGTTATTAGTAAAAACTTTGTGACTGCTTCCTTCTAAGCTAAATCTTTGCACGACTTGGGTGTTAAAAAACCACAAAGCTTGTGCGTATCGAAAAAAAAAACACAAGTAATTTGGCTTTGTTGCTAAATTATAAGCGTGAAGTTTTAATCTTACTTAAGAAAACTATCGAGAATCGCTTTATAGGAAATTCAGAATTCCACAGAAATATTTACATTATTTTCGGTCTCTGATCGTTTTCTATGAAGTGATAGTTGATCAGGTCGAAAGTCGAATCAGCAATTTTATTGGTAATTGGCGCGGAATCATGCAGAATATTGCCTGATAAGTATTACCGCTACCCACTCTTAAAAAACTTGTCCGACAAAACATATAAAGCAGAAGTAAAAAAAAAGTCTGTCAAATGTTTAATTTACAGATGAATGTCGTCATTTGGAGTTTAGAGCAGCCCAAGTGTTTCACGGCCAGCGTCTGATGAACTACGTGATTCGTAGCGCTGACGTCACGAACAAGGATTTCTGTGGTGCGCTATGCTTCATGGAACCGAAATGTGTTAGTTATAATCTCATGATAACGAAAAACTCAAATGGAAAACAAAAGTGCGAATTGAATAATGCTACCTATGAAGAGGACAAGAGAGACATGGAGGAAAATCCAAATTACGTATACCATGGGGCAAAGGTAAAAGAACTTCAGGAAAAAAAAAGCTTCTAAATTTTAAAAGTTCCTCCTTTTGATTCCGCTGTTATATGTGTGTCTTGAGCGCTAGTTTGACGTTTCCTTTAAAGAGTCATTTTTGAATTACTCATTTTTTTTGTTATTAGGCATTGTGTGGGTTCAGTGGTGACATTTGCAAGAAAAAGTTTGTTGTCGTTATTTATATAGAATCTATGGATAAATTGAAAACAACCAACTCTTTTCAGCCGCGGACATTCTTAAAAAAATATAATTTTATGTCTTCTGAGTTTCTTTCTCGGTTTTTTTCAGAATGCTTGCGCCAATGTCCCTTGCAAGAACGACGCGACCTGTCAAACCGGTTTTACACACAAAGGATATCGTTGTCTGTGTCCCGCGGGGTTTACGGGTCAGGATTGCGAAAGTGGTTAGAAACATGTAGCTGCAACTTACTTGCTGTAAACATACCTCGAATTATCAAATTTCCCAAAATATTCAAAGATTCTTACTATTCCCTATGAAAAATATCAAATTGCAATTATTATAATTTTCGATTGCTATGTTTTGAGGACAGTAATTTTAAAAGGACACTTCTTGGGATAAGTCTATTGTCGAGCAGACTACTGAGATCCATAACTCAATAGGCCCTTTGCACGATCCGGTCACATGGTACAAAATCACACATGCTGGTGAGCAAGTTGCACAGTGGGACTTCCAAAACAATGCCACTCGTACCAGTCCACCTGGACCTGCCTTTGTTTTGGAAGTCCCACAGCGGAACTTGCTCACCAGCATGTGTGATTTTGTACCATGTGACCGTATCGTGCAAAGGGCCTATTCACTTTATCTACTTATTGTACTATCTACTAGTCATGAATTTACAGCGTTTCATCACATTGCCAAATAAAAAGAAAAAGAAAAAAAAAAAAAAACCGTAAAGCAACGAGCAGCATGGGCATACAAGATAGAGCAAGGTGCACAGATATGAACTTCTGTAACGTTCGGTTAGATTGAATAATACATTCTGAAAATGTAAAGTAAGCGAATCCCCTGACTCCTCTAGATCTCTGCTTACAGTAGTCAAAGCAAATCTAGTAAATGTAACATACTTCTTTCAGATATTGACGAATGTGCTAGAGGAACATCCAGTTGTGATGCTAATGCTGAGTGTATCAACACCAAAGGATCGTACAACTGCTCTTGTAAAACTGGTTATCAGGGAGACGGGAAAACATGTGAAGGTGAAGTCTGTCGTTGTCAAGACGGCCCGAACTGAAATATTTGCATTTGAAATACGCTTTTGAATAGCCCTTATTTTGTCATCATGATTTAAACGATTCCTGCAATTTTGATATCGTACATAAGGAATTTTTTTTTTCACCGCTGCACTTGTTTGTTAACAATATTATATTCATCTCGTCAAGTGGAAAAGTGAAAATACAAATTTACTATCTCTCTCAGCGCTTTTTAGCTTGAGGTAGCCTCAAGTGGATTTAATGTAACTGAGTGGGTGGAAAATCTTTAACGAAAGGATCCTGCTTATTATATTATCTCCATTTCCAGATTTGGACGAGTGTACTACAGCAACACACAACTGCATCGATGATGATTTGTGTCAGAATACTATTGGATCATTTGAATGCCTCAGTGAGTAAAATTCGCCCATTTTTGGGTGTGTAACATTTTTTTCGAACACAATATAATTTTCATCCTTAAGTGGGGGAGTGATCTAACGGTTGATGTTATTGGACACCGATTCGGGTTTCAGGCTTCGTCGAGGTACATTTTGGTTTTGTCCTCATGCAAGATATTTCACTCCCCCAATTCTTTTCTCTCAAATTAACAATGAGCCGGGATAAACGAGTCCCGATACATTTGAAGGAAACTTGAGAGACATCAAGTTGGTTAAGCACCTAAAGTATCTGAAACTTAAATTATTTTTTTTTACAATGACGCCTACCCAAAGAGAAGGTCACATATCAGGAACAGAGCTAAAAAATGTCTCTTTCAGAAGCAGTGGAAAAGCGGAATTGTCACTCTCACTATTCACCAAGACACTACTATTATCGTTAATTCCAAGCAAACTTTTGCATTTCTAAACTTAATTAAACTATTTTTTTTTTTTTTTTGCGCAGCTTGGTCGTGCGAGGAGCTCTACAACAGAAATGTGTAAGTGAAGCATCTTTTTTAGCTATTACTTCGTTTAATTAGACATGTATATGTAACGTAGTGAATCATCTTTGCATCGGACCACGGATTGGCTCAAATATTGGGTTTGGTGTTTGGTGAGGGAATAATTATGCCAAACTAACAGGTCAAGATATTTTATACCCTCCAAGTTAGAAGGACACCCTGCAGAACTGACCAACTAGAAAATGATCCAGTAGATTTAATTTGCACACGGCTTTTCTAGTTGTTGAAATTAAAAAAAAAAACAAACAAAAAAAAAAACACCAAGACAACTAATTAATTATGCAAAATAGGTGTCAAATGGCCTTTTTGGAGGAAATAAAATATTTTGACCTACTATTTTGTCATAATCGGTCACTCACCAAACCCAACATTAACGCCAAGTTTGAAATCGATGATTTGAGCTGTATCAGCTCCTCCCTGGTTCTGCCTGGTTCTACTCATGGACACACAATTAAATTTTTTGGTTGCCGAAAACATAGTCCCTTTACTTTTCTCTCAATGTCATTTAGATTTTTCAAGAATCTCCTTGTTCCCTAGGCAAAAATGAAGTGGCTTACTGCACTACGAAAGCTGAAATCAATGAATCAGGGAACACGGAATATTGAAATAATATAAAACAGAACAATTTAAATTTCAGGACCAGTGGTGGCGGTTGGATGTTGGTCATGAAGATTGACGGAACGAAGGTAATTTTGTTGGCTTTGTGGTAACAGTATTTGCTGAACACCACTTCTAATTGTTACTTATGTCATAACCTTTGTGAGTGAAACCATGAGGCGTTTCTTCCCTTTTGAAAGCACTGCCAAGAAACAAACCGTGGTGAGTTGAAAACCCAATCTTAGCCTTGTTAGCTGCTGGAAACAGGAAGAAATTTGTCAGCCAGAGACTATTTCCTCTGCAGCCTTTATTTGGGAAATCCAGGCCTGAAAAGCTAAATCTAACAAATTATATAATACAGAATAGACAGCTTCGCGTTTGTTTTGAAATAATCAGCTAATTTACTCTACTTTCTCGGAAATAGTTAAGAAAATACTGCTACATGTACTATTTGTTTTCTAGCAAACCTTCCATTATGATTCCGATTTTTGGAGCAACCAAGATACATTTAACCCTGCGGCGGGGGAAACTGGGTTTGACTCACAAGAGACCAAGCTACCAACCTACTGGAACACGCCTTTTACAAATATCTGTCTCGGCATGAAGATCCCTGGGGAGGAAGCCGCGAATTTTATCACCCTTGACCAGAGCGCTGATTCGCTGTACTCACTGATCGCTGACGGGCAATTCCGTGCCACTTCAATGGGTCGTGACACGTGGAAGAGTCTGCTTGGTTCTCAGGGCTCCTTGCAGCACAACTGCAACAAAGAAGGGTTCAATGTAGTAAGTGGTCGATCTAATTATCCCAAGGCAAGAATCGGTATCATTGCTAACAACGAAGATGAATGCGACAGCTGCGATTCCAGAATCGGGTTCGGCTCAGGAGGGTTCCCTGATGACACCAACACGTGCGGCATTGAGGCGCAAACCTTTGTAGATAATCGGCCCAGGCACATCAAAGTCATGGGATACATATTAATTCAGTGACATTAACATCCGTCCAGTTATTTTTTGTTAAGCATTTCTTGTGAGTAAGAGAAAATGATGTTGCTGTTAGCTGACAAGTAGCAAATTTCATCATGTAGATAAATGCATTGCAGGAAGCACACTTAGTCCAAAATCATTACGCTAAGCAGCTTAATTTGTTCGACGTTTAGTTCATCGCTTTTTAAGTTAATGTTAGCCACATGTTAGAGAAAACCAATTTAAACTATAAAAAATGTATTTGAACGTCGTCGATCACTTAGTCTTACAGCTATCTGTAGAATCCTTATTCCGAATCTTTCAACTTAAAATATCGCATTCGATCGTGAAAAGAAAGGTCTGTGGATCACATGGGGTGTTCTGATCTCTATCCACTGATTTCCCGACACTGTCAGGTAAAAAAACTGTCACGTGACAATGGGCAGACACGACTTAGTTCCGTTGAAATTTCGTTCTACTTTAAAATGACAATGTGTTTAGTATAGTTTAGTTTTCCTTTAACTTTGGTCATTGCTATGGGATGTGGCTTGAATAAAAAAATGAATAAATGAATAATAAGTACAGTGGTAAATTTAACAATTGATTCATGCTTTTAGTTTGGAGAGTACGAAAGAAGTGTAGAGAATTGGAGAGTAAGATAGGAGAGTTGTTGGAAGCGAAGCCACGAGCAGCTTGAGTGGGAATGAAAATGGCGAAGCAAAGCAAAGAAAAGTTAACCTTGTTCACGCCCAGAGCATGCATCATTGGATTACGATGCACCCTTGCTTATACTGAGAGTGTTAGCACAGATTTGCTAGAATATTGACAGAATAAAGGAAGAAGTGAACAGATGAATTACATGTAGCTAATGACTGAGCAAACCAACAAAGAACGTAGGGAAGAACGAAGGAACGAACTAGCGGACAAAAAAGTGTAAGGAATGAATGAACGGACGAACAGAGAAAAAAAAAACTTTTTTTTTTTGCCATGTTTTGTTTCGTTTTAAACCTGCTCTGATTCCCTGAGAGGCATTAAAATCCGTGATCTGGTTTTCATGTTTCTATGGCAACTCGATATTGTATTATTCAGTGGGTTTTTGGTAGTCATGAGAGTAAAAACAGTAAATAAATTAGTGAATGATTAATGTTTGTGTGATTTACGTGTGTCACTGATGGTCTGAATAAATCCCATTCCGAGTTGATCTCAAACAACTTTGCATGACGATTAAGGTACTTTTCAAGTCGACTCGGTTGAAGGATGTGATATCAAAACTCCTTCTGGACTGTATGCCAGAGGCTGTGAATTCATGAAAAGCTTTTAATCAGCATGCTGTATTTTGACAAATATAAATACTTGCCACGGCTCCATTCTTCCGATTTGTAAACTAATCAACAGCGACCACTGACCGATAATCTCTACGATCAGGGTTTCTTTTAACCTTTTTAACTTGGATCGATCTTTATTAAAATCTGTGAAGCATTTGAAAAGCGTATTATGAATCTTAGGGGCATTCAGTTCAGTAGCGAAATTGAAAGTGATCTGTTAAGCGACTCATCCTGAAGCATACAGCATGTAACTGCTGAATTGATATGTGCATAAGAAGAGCTCATTCATAAATTCATGACGTAAATGTCCGTTGGAACAAAACAAATCAAGCAAGTTTTCTGTTTGTTTTTTTGTTTTTTTTTGTTTTTTTTCATTTCGTTTCTGCTACTAATACCTCAAACAAAAATAAAACGTTTTAGCTCTACATAATTGTTTCCAATCATTGATGTCTGATTTGAAACAAGAAACTGGAAGATATGATAATTAATTTTAACTCTTTAAACAGGTGTTTTTGTGATCAGTGGTAATTAGATATTGGACGATAAAGCGGCCACCATTATTTGTTAAAAGCAATAAACATAAAATGTAATATTTATAACTTAATATTACCAGTTTCCATAGCCGTTTAAAGTCAAATGTCTGCAACAGGAAATACGTGAATTAGAAATTCTCAGTGTAATTCGCCATGAATGCCCCTTTCATAAGTTGTATTTTTATTGCCATCTTTTTGGAATGTTGGATTCTAGTAGACTACGAGTAGTCCCTCTTTCGCTTAGTCCGTCGTGCGTGACGCGAAAGAAATTCGCGAGAAAAAAAATGGCCGCGCGAAATCCTGGGGGCTAGGAGCGCGCGAAAGGAGGGACTACCGCCTAAGCCCAAGAGTTTGCCCTTTCACGGCCGAGGGATTTTTCGGTGTAGGATTTCTCATCTTGACGTCCTCTTATTATCGCCTGTTATCAGTAGCCCCGGGAGATCTGAATAAAATTGCTCTGCTCTACTCTTCAAGTAGCCAGGCAAAAACATATGCGGTGAGAAGCATATCTTCGTTCAGTGTTCGTTCAGCGAAACTGTCAAAGAAGTTTTAAAAAGAAGACGGCGAATGAGGCCTCTTGTAACGATTTTCGCTGCGTCTAAAA